ATATATATATATATATATATATATATATATATATTTTTATATATATTTATATATATATATATATATATATATATATATATATATATATATATATATATATATATATATATATATATATATATATATATATATATATATATATATATATATATATATATATATATATATATATATATATATATATATATATATATATATATATATATATATATATATATATATATATATGTATAAAATATTAAATATTTGTTTAAATACATTCATAATGGTTTTAAATATCTTTTAATATGTAAAGTATAGAAGTTCACATTCAACAAACTGAATAAAACAAGTCTTCGTTTTTAGTTTATTTAAAAACAATTACAAATGGAGTAATTCAACTCACAATTAAATGATCTCATTGAGTGATGGAATGATAAAGGTAAAACTTTAATTGAATGATCAGTCAAGTGTTTCCAAATGAAATCTGTTAAAATAAGAGTCCTACAAAACAGGAACAAAGACACTCATGAAACAAAATGTTATTGTTAATTGTATTTTTTATTAGATGGTTGGTTTTAAGTACTTTAAAAATAGTAGATAAGCCTTAAATATAGAGGGGGAAATACAGAAAAACAAACAAACAGAAATTCAACAATATAGATGCATTACATTACAATCTCACAATACAAAAACCATATGGAGGACTAAAATATTGCTAAGAGGCATAACATCAACAATAATACAAATACTTTTGAGGTTTTAAATACTAAATAAAATTAATAGTATCAATCCAAAATATGATAAAGGTAACACTTTACAATAAGGTTGTATTAATTAATTAAGTTTATGTATGTACTAATGTGAACAAACAATGCAGTGCAGTACAGTTACAGTTCATTACAGTATTCATTAATTAATGGAAATAAAATTATTGGTTACTCTTGTTAAATCACAGTGCATTAACATTAATGTTAACAAGCATACCTTTAAATTGTAATAATGCAATAGTAAATGTTAAACTATAATTAATAAAGGTTTAAAATATAGTTCATTATTAGTTCATGTTAGTACATAGATTAACTAAAAAAAACTTATTGCAAAATGTCACCAAAAAATAACAAAACACTTTTTTCACAGTTTTAAGAGCTTTAAAAATAAATTATATATATCTAGTTATTATATATGGCATGTAATTAATGTTACTACTAATTAAATAGTTAGAAAATACTGTCAGAGGATGGGCAAAACACAAAAATAAAACATAATATGCCCATTGACACAAACGACCAAGTGCAAAAACATAAATTACAGCCATGTTCGTTCATAATTATGTGAAATAAATCACGAGAGGGTAAATTTGTTTTAAAAAAAAACTGTTCATTGACTTATGCACAACAGTAAAACAATGCTTTTGCACAACAGTAACACATTGCGAGTAGTAAAGTCTCTTACCTTTGACAGATGTTGTAAATCCGCTGAATAAAACAAAAGAAGCAGATCTTGGATGTGTTTATTTCACTCTCCGAGTCAGAATGAAAATGGCATCTTCAAATTTCCCGCTGGTGCAAAAACACGGAAGTGCGCCACAAAGCGCTAGTGGTCGAAAGTATGCGTGCATGTTCTCTGTCTCACACACAAACACACACACACATACACACACACGCAGAGATAGAGCGCTCCTTGTCAACATACTTTTTATCTTTGGGCTTTTTATAAAAGTTGCAAGTCTTTACAAGTCAATAGCCGCAAGTCCAAGTGAAAGTCCGAGTCATTTATGTTCAAGTCCAAGTCGAGTTGCAAGTCTTTTCATATTTTGTCAAGTCGAGTCTGAAGTCATCAAATTCATGACTCGAGTCTGACTCGAGTCCAAGTCACATGACTCGAGTCCACACCTCTGGCCTGTGGTTTGTGAATGAGAATGTATGGGTGTTTCACATCGCTGGGTTGCAGCTGGAAGGGCATCCACTGCATAAAACAAAAGCCAGAATAGTTGGCGATTCATTCCGCTGTGATTAATAAAGGGAGTAAGTCTAAAAGAAAATGAATGAATGACTGAAATTGGCTGTAGTGTGTGAATGAGAACATATGGGTGTTTCCCAGTACTGGGTTGCAGCTGAAAGGCCATCCACTGTGTGAAACAAAAGCCAGAATAGTTGGCAATTTCACTGTGATTAATAAAGGGAGTAAAAAAAGAAAATGAGTGAATGAATAAATGAAATTGGCTGTAGTATGTGAATGAGTGTGTACTGGGTTGTTGCTGAACACATATTGTAATGTAAACACTAGTTGAGCAGGTTACAATGTAAGGTTGATTGTCAAGCATGCTTGTTAATGTTTGTGGTGTCAATCTGGCAACCTGGGTTGAAAAAATCTTTGCAATATATTACATTTGCACTGTATAGCGAGTGTGGCGGGGCCGAGAGGCGTGAGCCTGCGAAGTATAGTGGAGTTTGTGCTGAATCCTGGACCTGCCACCTGTCTCAAGTGGAGGAACTTTGTATAATAAGAGGACAAGAAACCCCAGTGAACGCAAAAGTAATGCATAAACTGTTCTCTCTCCTCCTTTTATCATCTAGAGCTCCTCTGTGCGTGAAACAGGTTCTCACTATCACTCAAACATCAGCCTCGCTTTGTTCCCACAGCTCTCAGCCCCGTCCCACTAAGCTACATACTGCAATACCTCAGTTCTACATATTACACCTTAAAGTCAACGAACAGTTTCAAGTTACAACAGGTTTACTCACTTTTTAATGTAACTAGTCACTTATTATGGTGATGAACTTCATTCTTTCATAAAATAAATCATATTTACAGAAACACAACTTCTTTCTCGTTTCAGCCTCGTTCTGATGTACTGTAAGACTTGGTTACTGGTTAGTCTCTTCATCCTGCTTAATATCCTATTGCTGTTTTTCACCGCAAGAACCCTCGAAAGACAGAAATGGCTGAAGCTCAATGTTGTTATCCCTCAAAACTACAAATTTATCCTCGACTTGCCAGAGAAGTGCCAGCAACAGGAGCCCTTTGTGGTGATTATTGTGCCGGTGGCCCCGGAGAACATCGAGGCACGCAATGCCATCAGGACAACGTGGGGGAATGAGGGGCTCGTCCGGGATAAAATCGTGCTGGTTTTGTTTCTTCTAGGCTCACGAAGTGGGAATGAAACATTGCAGGAGCAACTCCAGAATGAAAGCCAGCAACATGGAGATCTTCTGCAGAGCAGCTTTCAGGACACCTACAGGAACCTGACAGTTAAAACGTTGGTGATGATGGAGTGGCTCAGCAGAAAGTGTCCACAGGCTTCATACGCCGCAAAAGTGGACGCCGATGTGCTCCTCAACGTGAAAAACCTATTGTATATGCTTGTGAGTCTTAACACACTAGAGCGTAACTACATTACTGGCTTAGTATTGTCTGTAAACAATGTGATGAGAGATCCTACCAGCAAATTTTACATCCCTCATGACGTGTATCCCAGATCCAGATATCCTCCGTATCCTCAGGGCATGTGTTACATCTTTTCCATGGACTTGCCGGAGAAGATCCTACACATCTCGAGGTTTGTGAGGCCTATTTTTATTGAGGACGCGTATATTGGCATGTGCTTGAGGCGTTTGGGAATTAGGCCTGAGAAACTGAATTTTGGGCAGTTTTTAATCAGACCACCTGAACATTTGGATCGCTTTTATTATTCTGGACTAATAGCAATACTTACGCAGAGTCCATCTCAGCTGATTTCATATTGGATGGATGTTCAATCATCCAACAAACTCTGTTGAACTCAAAAATACATTTTTTATTTATTTTCCTTTGGCTTAGTCTCTATTTCAGAGGCTTGCACAGTTGAATGAACGGCCAAGTATTTTAGCATATGTTTTACGCAGCGGATGCCCTTTCAGCTGCAACCTAGTACTGGGAAACACCTATACTCTGAAGCACCCACACATACATGGGACAAACATGCAAACTCCATCATGAAATGCCAACTGGTCCAGCCGGGACTCGAACCAGTGACCACCACTGAGCCACCATATCACCCCTTCAAAAAATACCCCAATAAAATTGCAATTGGAGCAAATGTTGTATATTTAAGAAGACAATACTATTGTTTTTCTCTCTAATTTTAGGTTTAAATGTTAAGTTTAATGTATAACATGCTGTTTCTTTTTTAATGTACTCTGAATTTCTGTTTATACACCATTTCTTCAGTATAGTAAAAGGAACTGTGGATTTATTTTAAATAAAAACGACATATTTGTATTACCCGATAGCTTAAAATAAATGTTAATTATGATAAATTTGCATCCTGATTGAAACACTGCTTCTATAAACTGGAAGTGTAAAATACTGCTTTCTTTACATTATAACCCTCTATTAAAATGATAGTTTAATGTATGACAATGTATGTCTAAAAATGAAAATGTCTTCATCCTTTACTCACACTCAAGTGCTTCTAAAGTTTTTAAGTTTCTGTTTTCTTGTTGAACACAAAGCAAGATGCTCTGAAGAAAATTGGAAAGCAGCTGGCTTTGAAATCTATAGTAGGAAATAAATTCTATATATAATGGAAGTCAATGGATGTTGGAAGTCAATGACTATGGGTGTTTTTCATTCATTCATTCATTTTCTTTCGGCTTAGACCTTTATTTATCATATTTATCATATCATATTTATATTATATATATTTATAGTATCATATTTATCTTTATTTATCATATTCTGCAGCTCTGCACAAGACTTTTGGGTAGCGGAGAAATTAAATGGTCGTGCCCATCTGAGTCTGGTTTCTCTCAAGGTTTTTTTCTTCACTCTCCTATCGGTGAAGTTTTTTTCCCCTCTCCGCTGTCGCCCTGGTTTGCATGGTTCAGGATCGGTAGAGCTACAATACGCATCGATGAATTTGCTCTTCAGTGTTTGGACTCTAACACCAAATGATTTGAGCTAAACTGAACTGAACTTAAACACTAAAAACTGAACTACCATGATCCAGTTACTACGACCATTTATGTGAAGCTGCTTTGACACAATCTACATTGTAAAAGTGCTATACAAATAAAGCTGAATTGAATATTCACCATTAATATACGGTGGTTCAGTGGTTATCACTGCTGCCTCACAGCAAGAAGATTGCTGGTTCAAGTCCCGGCTGGGCCAGTTGGTGTTTCTGTGTGGAGTTTGCATGTTTTCCCGTGTTTGCGTGGGTTTTCTCCGGGTGCTCTGGTTTCCCCCACAGTCCAAAGACATGTGGTACAGGTGAACTGGGTAAGCAAAATTGTCCATATGAGTGTGTGAATGAGAGTGTATGGGTGTTTCCCAGTACTGGGTTGCAGCTGGAAGGCCATCCACTGTGTAAAACATATGCTGAAATAGTTAGTGGTTTATTTCGTTGTGGTGACCTCAGAAATAGAGACTAAGCCGAAGGAAAGTGAATGAATAAATATATTGTGATATGAATATAATTTGATGTCTCATTAAAATCATTCATTTAGAATTAGGTTGTGTTAATTTTGTAAGGGTGTAACTCATGTATTTAAAAAAATGCAAGCAAAAATATTCACAATAAAGCTAAGAAAAAAAAGTTCAATAAACAGTGCATTATGGTTTTCCGAAGAGCCAAACTGTGTTCAGATACAGAAATAACAAATAAAATAAAAGTGTATAGTCTTCATTGTTTTAATAATTCAGTTTGATTATTTTTCATTAAAAAGTTACAAATGTTTTACGTTATTGAGCTTAAATGCGTTTTCTTGAAATGCCAATAAAACCCATGCAAATGATTAAGTTTCACTCTGTTATGATTATATGTTGTAATGATTCCACAAATCTCATGAGTTCCTAACTGTCGATTAAATATAATTCTCAACTCAACATTGCATATCCTGCGATGTAACTATTGCGGACACACACATTGCGATATTGATGCTGCAAAGATATGTTGTGCAGCCCTACTCTGAAGAATGTGGGAAAGCAGCAGCCTTTGGAATCTATAATAAGAACAAAATACACTATTGAAGTCAATGGCTGTGGGAAGTCAATGACTTTAGCTGTTTTTTCATTCATTCATTAATTCATTTTCCTTTGGCTTAGTCCCTTATTTATCAGGGATCGCCATAGTGAAATGACTCTAAATCTAGTCTATTTATTTATTGACATTTGACAAACTTACATTTAAAACATCAAAACATTTTTGAATCAATGCAAGAAATTAGAAATTTATGTATCGACTATGAAACAATACACTTTTATTTTTCAGATTTATTGTCCTTATAATTGACTCTAAATGTGATAGAAATGTAATACTTGCTAGAATTGTATATAATAATGTGGTAGAGACAACAGATAGATTTTTAAAAAAGTATGCATCAGATATAAAAATAACTGCATGTAAATGGAATAAACTGTGATTTGTTAAAAATAAATGCCAGAAATTAATGCCTGCTATATTTGAGGACTACATATTACAAGTATACACCACTACCTCTATGCCAGAGATGCCCAAAGTAGGGCCCGTTTCTAATTTCTAATTAGAATTTTTTTTGTTTGTTTGCTTTATTGCTGAGCTACAAAAGAAAAAAAGAAAAGAAAAAAAGCATACTGAAATGAAATGTTTTAATTAAATGTCACTTAAATGTAATTCAATCTGATTTCTAAAAATATAAATACTGTCACTTGTGTGAGAGTGTAATTTAAACTAGTGTAATTTTGTTATAAAATAAATTGTTTTGTTTTTACTGTAATAAGTACATTATAAAATTTAAAAACAATACTGCATTAGTTAATATAAAGCAATGTTTTCTAGTCATTTTTTAAATTTATATTATTAAATAAATTAGGAAATCACCCATGGCAACTGTTTTTACCTTTGACCCACTAGCCTCAATCAAGTTTGGTTTTTGGCCCTTCATAAGAAAAAGTTTGGGCACCCCTGATCCATGGAGTTCTGCTCCAACCCTAATTAAACACACGTGATCCAGCTAATCAAGGTTAAAACCTTGTTCACTAGACACTTCCAAGCTGGTGTCAGTAAGAGCTATACTGTGGGAAGCTGTGGCAGGCCTCCAGGAACTGAGTTTGAGACTGTCATGTATTATGTATGACTCTATTATGTATTACTGTGTGACTTCATCAGCAATTGTATTCAGTAAAGGTATTAAACCTTGTGACTACACCTATGTGATTCACCGACATTACAAAACAAACAAAGACATAACACTGATAAAAACTGACCAGAAATAACAAAAACTTTATGATGTACAGTGTACTCATATTAAGCATGAAAAACACGTCTTCAGGTGTCCCGGATTTTCAAAAGTAATCTAGTGGGATTTTGGATCATGGATTGGATCAAGTCTTGGAAATGGGTTTTTCAAAAGTGACAGAGAGATATTGAAAAACGATCAGACCATGTGATCCAATCTTACAGTTGATTCAGATCAGTCCTGCCTTTTGGGTCATACAAATCTTTGAGCTCAGATTGGGATCTATTTGATCCAAAAAACAGGATTATCCTGATCCCATCAGAAGGGTGAAATCAGTTGTGACTTTTTTAACCAAATAAAATATTTAAAATTTTTATTTTTTGGGTGAATGATCACAAATTAATGGTTACTAATGATATATATATATATATATATATATATATATATATATATATATATATATATATATATATAT